TCTGTTTCTTCCAGTCTGTTCCATTGATCCTCAGGCCTGTTTTTTAGCCAGTACCAGGTGGATTTTATGACAGTAGCTTTATAGTATAATTTTACTGACCATGTAGTTCAAGAGCCTTTGGAACTGGCTTGTGGGAAGTGTTTGGAATGGTTCAGAGATTTTGCCTGAACAAGAAGTGCTAGAATACCTTCAGCTGTTTTGTATAGAAGATTCTGGTCAGAGCTCAGAAGACCAGAAGGCTGAAAGAAATCCCTCCAATAAAGACTGGGTTCAGGAGGTTTCTGCTGGGAAGAAGTACTGCATTGGGTGCTGGACTCCAGATGATGTATGTTATAGCTTGACAGAAAGTTTGTCTACAATTTACTCATGTCCAGAGACTTTACCTGAGACTAAGATTAAAGGCAGTGGACTGATTAATCGGGCAGAAGAAATTTCAAGGCAGTTGAATATTGAGGTGGTGGCATGGCTGTTGTTGAGAGTTTTAAGCCAGATTTATGTTGTGAATCAAGAGCAAAGAGCCCAGCAGGATGATTTAAAATGTTGAGTTTGGCCAGAAAGGAAGCTCCAGTAAAGCTGTGGATTGCCAAAATAGAGCTGAGGAGATCTTGATCACTGAGAAGGAGCAGGAGAATATAAAAGATGGCCTGAGAGCATCACTAGGAGCAGCAAGTCTCCACCCTTTGAGGCCTCAAACCTGGAAAGGTGCAGGACTTTGCTCTGTGGAGAGAGCCACAAAGCGCCATGTTCCAGAATGGCAGCAGCTGCATCAGGCTCCAGAATGGTGGCAGCATAGAGAATTTGTTTTTCAGTACTGGATTCAGAGTGCCCAGCAATCCAGGCACTTGATCCCTATGACCAAGAGAGGGGAAAGCCTGGCTACTGCTCCAGTTGGCAGCAGACCTTGGCATCATCCACATGGTGCTGGTTTTAGGTGCATGCAGAATGCAAGAGTTCTGAGGTTAACAAGGCTTCCACCTAGATTTCAGAAGGCTTGGGAGACCAAGTAGTGTGCTCCTGAGAGGGCAGTTTGTGAAGCTGTGAGTGTGAAGTGAAAAGTGCAGTAGAGACTCCAGAAGTTTGGAAAAGCCAAAATGTGGATTGCCTGAGGAGAGCTGCAAGGAGGCAGCAAAGGGGGCCCAAGAGAGAAGCCATAGGAGCTACAACTACCAGAAATGCTGTAGGGGTAGAATCATGCAAACCCTTTGGAGCTCACAATTTACCACAGATTGCTTTAGATGTTCCACATGGAACTACAAGACTTAATGTTTGTCCTGCTGTATGTTGGACTTGCTTCTGGTCCCAACGTTCTGTATCCTCCTGTTTGAACCTTTGGGGATGGTAATGTTTGTTTTGTGCCATAAAATGTTGGAAGCATTTAACTATTCATTTGTGCAGGGACTCACAGCTAAAAGTTTGTCTTAAATCTCAGAGGGGACTTGGAACTTAGACTCTTCAGCAATGCTGAAACTGTTAGGACTTTAGCAACTCTTAGAGATGGACTAAAATGTCTTTTGCATAAAGGGATGTACATGAGTCACTGGGGGGCCAGGGATGGAATGTTATGGTTT